AACATAATTTTAAATAACATTTTTCTGCATTCAATAGTTAAATAGACTTTAGCTCTCTTAAGAAGGCATGTTCTAGAGTTCAGCTTTTTTAGTGAATAGTCGATATGTAAGTTCCAAGAAAGATGGAACTTACATATTGACTATCTAATAAAAAAAGAATAAAGGCTGATAGTTTCTAAAGAAACTGTTTGGGGCTGCGTCGGTGGGGGTAACGAAATAATTTGGATATATCAACAAAGTTGAAATGGTAAATTGGCCACCGTAACGATTACAAAAGCTGATGTTTCGAGCGTTAGCCCTTCATCGGAGTGAATAGAGGAATTGTGGGTTGTGTATGCTTTTAAAGGTAGAAATGGAGCTACGTTATTTGTGGGAACATGGCAACGAGAAAAACACGAATAAATTAGTGGAATGAAAAGCGTTCGTTGATCCCTGTGGGGATCAACTTTGAATGGGTGGGAATGCTTTTCATTCCACTAATTTATTCATGTTTTTCTCATTGCCATGTTCCCACCAATAACGTAGCTCCATTTTCTACCTTTAAAAGCACACACAACCCACAATTCCTCTATTCGCTCCGATGAAGGGCTAAAACTTGAAACGTCAGCTTTTGTAATCGTTACGGTGGCCAATTTACCATTTCAACTTTGTTGATATATCCAAATTATTTCGTTACCCCCACCGACGCAGCCCCAAACAGTTTCTTTAGAAACTATCAGCCTTTATTCTTTTTTTATTAGATAGTCAATATGTAAGTTCCATCTTTCTTGGAACTTACATATCGACTATTCACTAAAAAAGCTGAACTCTAGAACATGCCTTCTTAAGAGAGCTAAAGTCTATTTAACTATTGAATGCAGAAAAATGTTATTTAAAATTATGTTAGAATGTTAATGTTTTGTTTTTTTGTTGAGGGCCATTATATAAACTACCAAGCTTTGGGTAATAATGTATTTCACCCTTGATAAATAAAGTATTTGTTTGTTTGTTTGTTTGCTTCTCTCCAACCAGGTGTATAAATGGGTACAAGCAAATTTTCAGGAGAGCCTGATGAAACACCATGGGAGGGGCAGGGGGGAACCTTGTGATGGACTGGCATTCCATCCAGAGGGGAAAGTAGAACTCCTAGTTTCTTCATAAAAACCAGCTCAATTTGCCAGTTTGTAGAGTTTTCTTTTGTATAGATCGTGCTTGTCCTATCTGGATGAGGGTGGCCTAAAATCAACCAAACATCCAAACATCAATGCTCTTTGGTGCAGAAATTTGAAGTTCTTTGAAGTCTTACCTAACGCTTCTGCTTGATTATTGAAGCCTCCGTAAAGAAATAAATGTTTGTCACTGACAGTAGAGAGTGAATGCCATGTTCTTCCGTCTGGCACATTACCTGTTGTTGGAATACTAATTAAATCATTAATAATTAAAGTGTCATTATAAAGAAATTTATGATCATACATCTGGCAAAAAGCAATGAATTATAATTGAGTAATAAATATAATTAGCAAAGACAGCCAATAAAAAAAATTATGAGTTAAGTTGTATTCACCTGCCACTCCACTCCATGGTGTCCATGTCAAAGGCATGCAAATCATTACGCCGTTGTTCCTACCAATTAAAATCAACAAAACACATGGGCCACGTGATTTTTTCTCAAATAGTTGGTAATAGGCCATTCTCCAGTTTTGTACTTGGTTGCCAAGCCTTTGATTTGGAGTGAGGCTGAAGGTGACCTTGTTGTGATATAGACCAGTATGATAACAAAGTAGTTTACGTTTATAATGCAGCAACACATGTATCATAACAAGGTCACCCTTAGCCGCACTACTATTCAAAGACTTAGGAAACAAGCACGCAATAGAGTAAAATGGACAATTCTTGACCTTGTTTGGTCCTTGTTTGAAGGGCAATTTGTCTAACAATGCAGAGAGACCAAAGAGCTATTAGATTTAACAGCATTATCTCTCCACCCTTACAGTTTTAATTTGGTGTTTAGGGAGGTTGTGGTCCAAATGCTGTAACCCTTTTTAACTCCCATGAGTGACCAAGACAGAATTTCTCCTTACAATATCAAGACAAGTGTTAAGAAAATAGAAATTTTAAATCAGGGGATTTTTAGTTGATCCCACACCAAATTCTCCAAACCAACATCCTACGAATTGTATAGCAGACAGTAAGGAGAGTCAGTAAACTGAGATCTGGGAGTGAGAGAGTTAAGACTATCAGCACTGTTAGCAACAACTATTAAGAAAATCATATTTTTCCTGCATGTGGAGATAAGACAAGAAAGTATATCTTTTAGTTTATAATTTTACTTGATAAGCTGTAAGATAAACATAGGAAGTATGACAGCTTATGTCAAACTACAATACCATGTATCTTCCTCCAAAGATATAAGCAATGTTTCCAAGTTTAGCTGCAGCCTGTGCTGCTCTCGGTGTGGGAGCTCTCCCCTACAGAGAAAAATAGTATCATTAGGAATAATGTAGCTGAGAAAAATAAAAAGTTCTACACAAGTTGAGGGTATTTTATAACATCATAAATTTTAGTTTGTATCTGACTCACCAGTTGTATTCAGTTTTTGTCAACAAAGTTACACATTCAATATTCATGGAAAAATTATGTTATGCCACAGATTTTCCAAGTCCATTGTTCAAATTTTTCTCTATTTCTGAGCCATTCTGAATCAATCTAATCTCTTTACTGCTTATTGAGCCTGGCTAGAAAATTATTACTGCCAGAGAGAGGTTTGTTTTCTTCTTTGAAAAAACCACCAATGAAAATAAAAACACCAAGGAATGAACAAAAAAATGAGTCAGCCAAAGCTTCCTTACATGTCTTGATCTGAACAATTAATGCTATGACAATGAAGCATTTTTCTTGATACTGTTATAATTGTAAATGCACATTCTGTCTACTGTAGCAAAACTGACATGATTGAATATTCAACCAACAGTACTAAACATGCTCCATTTTAACCCACCTTTGTTTGTGGTTGGCTCCATGTCAAATGTTCTGTATCCAGAACAAACATGTGACTGTTCCATCCTCTGTTGTCCTAGTGAATCAAAATAAAAAGAAGGTGGAGATCAGTTTTTTTTTTTGCGCTTTTCGCCAAGGATACCACAGAAAACATAAAAAATTTGAAATGATACAGGTTTTAGTTCACTGGACATGCCATACAGTCTTTCATGTGTTGCAGTTCCAAAGAGTGACCTAACTCTTCACAAATTGTCACAAAATGTGCTAGAAATTTGAAAATGGATGGTGTCATTTAGAAAGACAACTCAGTAACAAAGTTGTACATACATCCGTATGTATAAAAAAAGTGTGGTTCTAAAACATCTGCCGTTGTAACAGTCACATTAAGTCATAATTAAATAAATTTAATGTTCTTTTCGCATAGCACCTTATTGCTCAAACAGATCACCAAGAGAGGGAAAAAAGCAGAGTCAGACTAGAACATGTAATCAGGGAGTGGCCTGAGGTTCCTGAGAAAAATCTTGTTTGGCAGCAACTATTTTGGAATTTTAGCAATTAATTTGAAGATCTTCACAAGGTCAGGTCACAAGGCAAGGAATCTCAAAACATAATGCCTGACATAACTTTCATAATTACATGACTTGGTAATGGTAGTGGTAAAGATAGGGAAAACAATCATGGACTAGTTTCTGGCAGGAGTAATCCTTCACCTTTGACATAAGTTTGTAGAGGCACAGTGGCCTAATGGTTAAGTGCACTCGACTCAAGATTGGGTGGTCTGGGTTCAAGCCCTGGCAGGGGACATTGTGTTGGACAAGACACTTTTACTCTCACAGTGCCCCTATTCACCCAGGAGAATAAAATGGGTACCAGCAAATTTAATGCTAGGGGTAACCCTGCAATGGACTAGCAATATTCCATCCAGGGGGGAGTAGAAATACTCCTAGTTGCTTCATGCTACGGAAACTGGAGTTAACTAAGCGCTGGCCCAACTGACCCTGCTCGTTAAAGCAGGCTTTACCTTTGACATAAGTTTGACATTTGTCTATAAACTTACCGTAAATTGCTCCTCAACACTGGCATTAAATGTGAAAAATCCACACGACTCATCCACTTTATCAGGATCAGGAGATATTCCATATCCTCCAAAGTACACTATTCTGTACACATAACAAAAGAGAAATATTGTATCATCTGGCAAATTATTTTTATGGTTTCAACCCTCTCCTTTTCACAATTTATTATAACAACTTTACACAGTTTGAATATCTGACGTCAAATGCAGCTCAGCACATGAAAGAAGTGTAAGAGTCACGCAAGGCTATAATGCTGAAAGCAACTCTTGCTTCTTGAGTGCTTAGCAAACCTCCCAAGTGCATCCATAACTAAATATAGTGTATGCTGTGGTGTTTACCATTTGTGTTATAACATAACATTGATGCATTGTAGCAAAAAACTTGCTCTTTTATTTCACACTGAAATCTTAATATGTGACCAGAAAAAACAAGTGCGCAGAAACTAGTCTTTGCATTTGCTCACATTAGGATATTCTGTATGGTAACTGGAGAATTCTCCAAGGCCAAATGAATACCTTGAGTTTAAATTTGAGGATAACTGAAATTAAACTGATAATTATGACAAGAACCACAAAGGAGAGCTGGTAAAATCATTATTTTCAGCCACAATTTTATAGAAGCAAACAAATATAACATTATGTGACTTACAAATCATTGTGCGTCCAACAACACAGCTTGTCCCTGTCTGAAGGGGGATTGCCTTGAATCCTTTCTGTCAGATTTTGCCACACAAATGTGTTCAAACCTAAAACAAAAACCTATCGAAGAAAATACACAAACAAGAAACATTGTAGAGTATGAGGGTCCAGAGAGTCAGTCCCACGGTTTTAAACAGAAAGCATTGGTAAACTATAACTCAGCTTTTACAAAACAGACAAGGTTTCAAATCAAGTTTTTAACCCTTTGATACTCTGAAGTGATAAACAAGTAACTTTTCCCTATAATATCCATACGTTAACAAATATGTTATGAGAATTATACTCAAACTAATCACTGGTAGATGTCTTTATCAGACACCAAATTCTCCTATGGTATTACTAATTCACATGAAGATGTGTTACGGCTAGAAAGGAGAATGATCTAATTAACAATTATTCCACGAGCGCGCGTTGGTTATGAGATGATAGATAGCCAACGAGGTGCGTAGCACTGAGTTGGCTATAATCATCTCATATCCAACAAGTGCGAGTGGAATAATTGTTTTATTAAAAACATTAAATTAAATTATTAAATTTTCTTAAATGTTATTAAATTTTTAGCTCCCTTTTAATTTTAAGCTGAAACGTACACTTGCCATATTTGTAGATTATGGTATATTGGCTGATATACCATAATGGCTAAGCCAATAAAAAGTCTTGAATTGCATTATCCAATGATCCAGTTTTTAATAATTGATATTATTAAACACTAGATCATTGGATAATGCAATTCAAGACTTTTTATTGGCTTAGCCATTATGGTATATCAGCCAATATACCATAATCTACAAATATGGTAAGCGTACGCCTCAGCTTAAAATCAAAAGGGAGCTAAAAAATCCAGTTTCTTCTTACAAAATAATAATTTCTTGGGGGCGTTTTTAATAAAACAATTATTCCACTCGCGCTTGTTGGATATGAGATGATTATAGCCAACTCGGCGCTACGCGCCTCGTTGGCTATCTATCATCTCATATCCAACGCGCACTCGTAGAATAATTGTTAAATATTCAAATATTAGGTTGGAGTGAAAGGGTTAATGTAGATGCCATCTGAATACTAAAGATTTCATAACAAACAATTATTCACTAAAGTGGAGGTGTATGCATTCTACCACTTTCACTGAAACTAAGGTGAATAATTGTTTCAGTGTATACCACACAAATACAAAAAACAAGTTTATTTCTTTCAATATTAATAACAAAAAATTATTGGAAATTAAACTCTTGAAGTGCAATTGCATCTCTTCAGCTGCTCAGAGGTTAACAGTTAACTTTCTATTCATGACCCAATCAGTGTGAACAAAAAGAGGATATTACATGGCCGTGCGGGGATACGAATTTTATCTTCGAGTGCTGAAAGTATCTCTCACAGGTGAGCTGCGCTCACTCGTGAGAGATACTTTCAGCACTTGAAGATAAAATTCGTATCCCCAAGCAGCCATGTAATGTTCTGTTTATTATATAGATACTGATGAAATTTCCACATAAAATACAACATTTTTTTATTCATTTTTGAAACAGCAATTGGGTAATTATGTTGGTAACCATGGCCACACCAATATCCTCACACGTGAAAGATAAAATTAGTATCTTCACTGCGCACGGTGAAGATATGATTTTTTAGTAAAAGGAGAAATTCTGGTATTTCATCAGTATCTATATAATAAAAAGCACTATTCATCTGAGAGGCATGTATGAGTGGCAAATATTTTGTTGCCAAAAAGACTCACGGTAGAGGAAGGTCCTTCATCATGATGCCCAGCAAATATATACATATATTTGCCACCAATTACACAGGCTGTTGATCCTGACATGGGCGGGGGGATGTCTCCGCTTGTTTCAACATGTTTCCTAAAACACAATTATTTAAAGATAAAAACCAGTTGCTCTGAAGGTGTAACTAGCTTTTTAATTCTTATCCACCTAGTGCCAGTATGCACGGCTAGATATCGCACAAATGTCCAAGTTTCCCAAGCAAGAACAAGTTAATTCAAATGAAGTCAATTACTGCTTCCTTGACCCTTTGATACCTGAGAGTAACTAGCATGTAATTTCTCCTTACAATATCACCCCTGGTTCAAAAATTAAGGTCACAAGAATAAATTAACCCTTTCACTCCCAAGATTTCATTAACCCCTTCCCTACCACACTGTTCCGCAGCCAGACACCTCCTCCAACAGGCAGCCATATTGAATTTTTAATGAGATTCTAAATTTGTTTTTAAAATAGAAACTTCTCATTGAAATTATTAAATGTTCACCTATATTAAGCATTTTAAATGGTTTTAAGAATTACAAACCAAGAAAAACTGATTTTAGCTCATCCCCCTCAATCGCTAGCAGCCATCTTGGATTTTAACAGGATTATTGTTTTGGTTACATAAGTACCTCTAATCTTGAAAAATAGCATTTACCCTTGTTAATTCATGAAAAGAATAAAGTCCATTATAAATGTTCAGTCTCATTCATTCATTCATCTGGTCCTCTATAACATAATAATTATATATAGTGCCAGACCTTTCTCAACAACCAGGGATAATTTATTAAAGGCATTGCGAACAACCGGGCTCTTGCTAATGTTTTTTATTCGAGGATGTATATATACGTCCTCGGTCATTGAGTGACAAAAACATAGGACATATATATACGTCCTTGGTAGGGAAGGGGTTAATAATTCTCTATACTGTCTGCCATACAGTTCTTATGATATTAGTTCTGAGAATGTGGTATTGGATCAACTACCAATCCCCTAGTTTATATTTAACAATTATTCGTCAGAGGCGAGGTGAATATTGTCGAATAATCCCCGAGACGAAGTCGAGGGGATTATTCAACAACAATCACCGAACCTGAGGTGAATAATTGTTTTAGTATAATTTCAGAGCTGAACAACAGAGAAATTTCTAAAATCATAATATTTTAGTAACATTTATTAACATTTTATTTTATCATTTTATATAAACCGCATGGAGCAGTTTACATAGCGTCATATAAGGAACCGCTCGACCAATCAGATTGCTGGAAACTCTTTGCTCAGCTCTGAAATTATGCTAAATTTCTATATTCTCATCACTTGTCTGTTTGAAATTGTCTTGATACTGTAGCGAGAAATTCCGTATTGGTCACTCATGGGAGTCTAAGGGTTAAGGAAATGATCACTAATTTAAAAAGCTCTGAATTGTTAAACAAATTCTCTTTTTATCAGCACCTTAGGAAATGTATAGAGAATGGTATGGAGAATATGCATACTACCGGTAATATGTCAGGAAGAAAAGAGTTAAAGACTACTCATCATGCATCCTCACCAAGTAGAAGTCTCGATGCAGTATAACCAAACTTCATTACTTGGATGATACCTGTCTCCAAGAAACTGAAAACCAGGAAGCTGCTCTTCACCCTATGTATTATAAAATAAAAATTACCTATCTCAAAAAAAGAGTGATAAAAAATTATTTAATACATTTTTTTTAGTTTTTAGCTCTGAATATTGCATTTCTAGTGTTCTTATACTAACACTGAATTGAAATATGGTGTCCAATTTGAATTGCTATTGTTCTGGACCATGTCAAGATGAGGCTAGTAAGTCCAGAACAAAAGTGATTCAAATTGGACACCATATATTGATTTCTCGTACTGCTTCACTCCAATCCAGTGATCAGCTCATATTCCAAGTCACCTCATCTGGAAATGCAATGCACCAATTGTTACAGAGCTGGGAAAAGCTCCAAACATCCAAATGTTCAGGATTTAGTGAAAATTAATAAAACAATTATTTCATTTGCATTTGTTGGATATGAGATTGGTTATAGCTAACTCAGCGCCACGTGCCTAATTGGCTAGTTACCATTTCATATCCGATGCACACTCGAGGAATCATGATTGTTCAATATTTTGTAAGAGGAATCAGTGATCTCATACAATATGGACCTTTATTCTGATTGACTGCCCTATCAGTTTAGTGTTCATTTCAAGACAGTGGATGAACAAATGATCAGTTCTCATTTGGATTTCGTNCATAATTGATAGAATGCATTGAAATCTCACTCAATACCGAATTCGCTCTCATAACACTTTTTTCCACAAGCGGTCCAATCGTACTGTATGTGATTTTGAGGTCTAAAGGTCGTAAACGTTAATAACTTTAATATTAGGACTGAATTTTTAAGTGTGAGCGTGGATCGTCAAAAAGGGAAAAACTATAAAAAAGTTGAAACAAATTAAAAAGAGAATGAAAGCGAGGAATATTACATGTTGGGTCTCCTTACTTTTATTCCGTAGCTCGTTTTATCGCTTGTAGTCATTTTAACGCTATTTTGGCGAATGTATTTAGCATGCGTGTCATTATTACATACACACAAACACACACACACACACACACACACACACACACACACACACACACACACACACAAACACACACACACAAACACACACACACAACCCACAGTTTCCTTAGAAAGTTACCCCCTCCCTCCAAAACCAATCATGACATGGTACTGAATTTCTCTCATTGGTCTTCCATAATTTTTTCTTCTGATCTGTTTGGTAACTAAAATTTCTTTTATCTAATAAACCCAAGGCGAAAAAGTGAGATCAATGGAGTTGTTAATTAATTTCAAAGTTCACTTACGTTGCAATAGCCACCCCACACTACCAAGTAGCCATCGTAATGTACCGCCACATGACCACTTCTTTCTCTTGGCTTCACCGTACCATTTATGGACGGAAACACAAATGTCATGTTCAGTTATTTAGGACAAAAACAAGGAATCGCAACATTTGAAAATATATGCATGTCTTCTTTCGGGTTGATAACAGAGCACGACTGCAGTGAGCTGTGGGAAAGCTGTTATATTTACCACGTGACTTTTACTGCTTGATTTTATTGGCCCGTTCAAATGTGGCACGGAAATCGAACGTCGTCAAATACCTTGCAGAGAACGAAGTACCCGAAGACGATAAAAGAACTGCAAATCTGTAGACAAAAAGGCCAGATCCGATCCCGTTCTTTGTTTGTGAGATTTAAAATACGGAAAAGAGAGTTCTTTGTTTTAAGATGGTCAAAAGCAAAGCGCCACAAGAGAAGAATATCCAAGTGGTTGTGCGTTGCCGGTAAGTGAAATAAAAATAGGCTGACTTCATACACAATGATAATTTGTTTTAAGTCACTCTGTTCTTTGATTGACCGGTGGTCATCAGTCGAACGGATAGATGAGATCAAAGTGCTCACAAACTTGTAATTGAATGTTAGCGATAAACGATCGATTCTATTTGGCGCCTTCCACTACTTTTTTCTCTGGTGATCAAGTTACTTCTGATAAGGTTACAGTCAAGGGGATCACAAAAAAGGCACTCGCATTTCTCAAAATAAACTATATCGCTCTGATATGACTTTATATTCAATTTCTTTGCAAATAATTGAGTGGAAAAAATTAAAGGGCATCCAGAGGATCGCCGAATCTTTGAAAGTGGCCACACAGTCTAAATCCGGGAAGATCAGAGTGACAGAACTCATTCACAAGCCGTTTGCTACATCCCTGGCAGAGATTATAACTATGCCCAGAACATAATGTTGGCAAATAAACGGAAAAAATAAATTATCCGAAAGTAACAGATATGTTTTTCATTGATGTTGCTTATTACCACCCTGTATCTTTTAGGCCACGTAATGGAAAAGAAGTCAAAGAGAGCTCTCCATCTGTGGTAAAGTGTCAGCCATTGAAGAGGGAGATTGTTGTAAAACATGACGTTGGAAATCTTTCATCGGCCACATCTACAACAAAGACATTCACCTTTGATCGTGTTTTTGGTCCAGAAACCAAGCAGATCGATGTTTATCGCTCAGTTGTTGTGCCAATCTTAGACGAAGTGTTGATGGGATACAACTGCACAATCTTTGCGTAAGTCTACGCTATATTATTCTGCTCACGAATCCCGACAACTGTAAAGTAAATCAGCCTTGTATATTTTTCTAGCTACGGCCAGACTGGAACAGGAAAAACATATACTATGGAAGGAGAGAGAAGTCAAGAAGATTGTTCCTGGGAAGAGGTTTGTGTCTGAATATGCAAATTTGAGTGAGTGTCTTGATAGAAATACTTAATAGAATCTACAAGAACCAAAAAAAATTATCTTATTAGACAACAAAACATCTAATAAGAGATTTATTATCAGTGCAGGCAAATTTCACAGATATTTCTTGAGTACTAATGTCACGAGATATTTATACTTGTCTCATGTGTTATTTGTACTGTACAAAGCGTAATTGGATAATAAACATACCTATTGGAATCATTAGATGCTTCGTTCACATCTTGTGCTCGTAATTTCTCATCCATTGAGAGAATGGACACCAGCTAGATCCTGGGCATTGCATTCAGTGACATGCCCAGATAGGTGGGGAACTTGACACCCTTATGGGTGGGGGAGCACATCCTTCTACCGGTGTAAGTGAGGATGATGATGGAAAGGAGTGCGTTGGCTAAAATATCTTTCACGGATAGAATATTCAGTTGTGTTACTGATCCAAGAGAAGACAGTTGATGATCATTCTTAAATACCAGTAACATTTTTTATAATTGGACTTTAGAAATTAATTAGGTTTTTGATGCATGTCTCCCAAATTACTTCTCATTCCTCTTTTTTTTTTGTTGTTTTTTGTTGTTGTTGTTTTTGTTTTGTTTTTTTTGTCTTTGGTTGAAATAATTAATTTTTGTTTTCAAATGTTCCTTAATTCTAGGATCCCTCAGCTGGAATCATTCCACGAACCATGCATCAGTTGCTGGAGAAACTCAACAGTCAAACTGTAAGTTATTTGACTGTATAAATCTATGATTTGCTTTATTAAAAATTTAGGAGGGACATGAAAAACTGACAGTATCCCTCACACACATAGTCAAGTCTAATTCTATGGAAATTTTAAACCACTTTTTTGAGGGGTACAGAAAGGATCCAAGAGAGGGGGGTCCAGATTTTGTCTACACTCAATAAATCATGTATAGACAAACCTCCACTAAAGGCTACCTTTCGACAATGGCCCCTTTTTTCAGTCCTGCCAGGCTGTCTATGCATTCACCCCTACCCCCCCCCTTTCCCATAATGGTCACCTCTCCACAATGGCCACTCTGCTCTGTTGGCCATTGTCAAGAGGTTCACCTGTATTTTGATGGTGCCATCAATTATGTGTACCAGTGCTGGTAATTATGCCTTGTAAAAAAAGGAGAGAAATTGTAAATTAAAATAATTCTGCATTTTTTACTTGGTAGTTACTGATAGTAGTTAGTATGCAATATTTTTAATTAATTCAAGATGCTATTTTTCATCAGGACTGCGAATTCTCTGTACGAGTTTCATTTTTGGAGATCTACAATGAGGAACTGTTTGATTTGCTGAGTTCAAGTTTGGACAGCCAAAAAATGCGTCTTTTTGAAGACTCTACTCGAAAAGTGGGTACATTGCAATTACAGGAGAAACTAAGTTGAATTTAAAGTCTCTAAGCCTAATGAATTTCTGTCTTTAATTTCACTTGACTGGTTTCATATGTTTTATGTTACTTCAATGTTCAAGTTATGTAGTACCTTTTAACAGTAAAAAAATTTTAATGTTTCCCTCTTCAGCTTTATAGCTGTGGACCCTGTTTTCAAGGTTTACATACCCTTCCACCCCTAACAGTACCTAGCATCTAAGTATCATCGTCCAGGGCTGTGGTCTATCAATGCCTGGTGGCTCCTGGCGCCTCACTTTTGCTCTCAGGCGATTCAGGAATCTTAGTTTTTTAATAAACAGCATATGCTGGGCACCCTGGATGTCACAGTTTCAGAGCACTTGGTTCCCTTCAATTTTTCTTAGAGCATAACCTTATTAATTACCCCTGATTCAGGGGTAATTAATTAAGGTTGGGGTAACTTCAAGGTCACAAGAATGAAGGAATGATCATGAACTCAAAAGGGCTCTTGATTGCTAAACAAATTCTCCTTGTCAGCCCATTAGGAAAGGTATAAAGAACAGTATGGAGAATATGTGTACTGATGCTGGTTTGTAAATAAAGGGTTGATAATCATCTTCAATTTTCTATTCCATCAGGGGTCTGTTGTCATTCAAGGACTTGAAGAGCTTGTTGTTCATGACAAAGATGATGTGTACAACATTCTAGAAAGAGGCAAGGCAAAGCGTCAGACAGCAGCAACTCTGATGAATGCACATTCAAGGTAAAAAAAAAAAAGGCTTTTGATATGTAGAGTGACATTGTTTATGATAAGAATGTCTAGGTTTTGTGGTTGAGTTTACTCTTTATAAATGTCTGGTGAGATGAGTCAAACACGAACGCGCTGTGTTATAGAGGAAGGTACACTCATTATATATAATGTTCTCCTTTTCATGTTCAATGTAGCTTTCCTTGTTTCATGTATCAGGAATTTATCTCTAATTTTACTGATTGCCAACTGCCGATAATTTTTGCCGTAATGAGTGTGCAAAATGTCATAGATGTGTCTCTTTGGACAAAAGTGTGAGAATCAGTCGTCTTTGTAATCCATTCTGATTTTTTTGATATTTTAATTAGTAATGAAAAGTTGTTACAATCCTGGGCCTACAGCCAAGTGGTTAGTGACAACATAGACAACTTGTTACAACAAATTCAGTTTGTTTCCTAGCCAAACTGGCTAGTGGAAATCGAAAACCACCAGCCAAAACTGAATTTCTACTAGTCTGTGGCTAGTTAGCTACTGTTAGTGTCGAGCCCTGGTTAGATCTAATAAAAACTACATGTAGTCTGATGGATAAGTATTGAACACAATTTTAATTTGTAGTTCTTCATGTGAGTAAACTTGCATTTTATTCCACTGAAGAGCTTATTACTGGTTATATCTCCTTAGTCGCTCCCACTCTGTTTTCTCTGTCACCATTCACATTAAAGAGAACTCTGTCAGTGGTGAGGAGTTATTGAAGATCGGCAAGTTAAACTTGGTGAGTAAAAGGACCGTTTTCTGTGCATTTCAACCTGAAAACCTGTATCATTTCTACCTGACAAGGAACCATGGTTTTATACAATGTCAGTGATGAATCGTACAGGCTTTTCCTTTCACTGCAATTATGTTTCTTTATACCCAACACTTAAAGAATAACAGTACTACACCGTATTGTACTCTCATACTCAGTTTTTTTTACTCAGGATAGTGTTTGTGCTGAGAGAATTTTGTCTCCAGAGAGATTTCAAATCTGAATGAATTTTCTTTTGACACAACCTTCAATAGAATCTTCTTGCTTTGACCCACTCTTTGAAAATACCTTTAAGTTAATGGCTTTGGAGAGAGTATACAGTGTCAACTGTATCAAGTGACTGTATGTATTTTAAATGTACTTTACAGGTGGATTTGGCAGGAAGTGAAAATGTTGGTAGATCAGGAGCAGTGGATAAAAGGCTCAGAGAAGCTGGTATGAATTCAAACTGCAATAGAATAGTAACCTACACACTGTAATTGGATCCTGTTTACTGTAGGTACTCTTGACTGATATATCGGTCAAAAGTCGGTCAATACTTGACCAGTTATGTCGTTTGACACTTGGTCAATAGTTGGTTCACATTCGGTAGATAATAATAATAATAATAATAATAATAATAATAATAATCAGCTGTCACACATCGCTGAGAAGGATGGCAACTTCTTTGGTGCAAGTTAAGTCCTATGCAATTTCGGCAGATCCTGCCACAGTTGGGACAGCTGAGAGAGTTGGGAGCGGTTGAGGCAAGTGATGAGACTCTACTCGCATGGCGCTGGCTTTGTTGTCTGGTCTCTTCTTTCAAGTGGTCATCAATCATCTTGAGTGACTGACTCACATGGCAGGACAATTGGTTTATAGTCGGCCGATAATTGGCCAATACTTGGTCCAGACTCAGTCGATAGTCAATAGTTGATAATCTCGACCCATGTATCGACTGGCTATCGACCAAGTATTGGCCAACTATTGCCTGAGTGTTGACCAAGTGTCAACCAACACATGGGTGGAGTATCGACTGAATCGACCAATATATTGACCAATATACTGGTCAAGAGTACCTACAGTAAACGGTAAACATGATCCACCTAATTTTCCCCAAAATGATCGAAGTCTTTACCTATTTGGAGCAATTCAGAAGGCTTGTTTGAACTCACAACATTTTTTTAATCTAAATGTCATATGTACTGTATTTTCTCCATACTGTGGTATACATTTCCTTTGGAGAGATAAGGAGAATTTGTTTCACAATCAAGAGGTTCTCCAGTTGGTGATCATTTCCTTTATTCTTGTGACCTTAATGTTTGATTCAGTGGTGATATTGTAAGGAGAAATTAGATACCAATCACTCTCAGGGGTTATCCCTTCAACTCCCAAGATCTGATGCTGAATTCTCCCTTTCTGGCTGTTACACATTTCCTTGTAAATTGGTTATGAGAATTTGGTGTTTAATCAAGGTAACAACTTCTACCTGATAAGTTTGAGTATTCTCGTGACCTGTTTGCTGGAAAATGTATGGATATTATAGGGAGAAGTTACAGGTTAATCACGTAAAAACTATGGGAGTTAAAGGGTTTCAGTGTTAAATGCAGGCTCAATCCTTTTCCCTTACCTTCAGATAAAGACTAAGAGTACTTTAGTTTTCATCTTGATTGTATGAGTTACTAATTTTCAGATAGGTATTTCAGTATGTTCTATTAAAAACTTCTCAATGTGTTAACATGTGATTATAACTTCGCTTTCCTCAGGAACAATCAATCAGAGCTTGTTGACATTAGGAAGAGTGATCACATCACTGGTGGAAAGAGCTCCTCACATACCTTACAGGTACCACAGTGTTGAGTTGCTATCTCTCCCCTCCCCCTTTCTCTTCCCTGTCCTCCTACTCCCCCCCCCCATCCCCTCCTTTTTTTCTTCCTGCTTTCTTATTTGCCTCATTCTTAGCCTGCACAACAGATAGAATTTTTTTTGTCTCTTGGGGGAAGAGAGGCAAGGGCAGGGTGGAGGCTAGGTCGTGGGCAAGGGGCTAAATGGGAAAAAAAAAACTTGTCTTGTGCTTGCCTCTTTTTGCCCTTTAAACACACACAAAAAAATACCCCTATTGTGATGGCAGGCTACCTCATCCTCGATTAGAGAGCCTGTTTGGAGGCTTATAGACCTGGCAAAACTATGTTTGTATATTGCAGCATCTGTTCAGCATGCTTGCACTGATTTGAAAAGAAGGCTGAAGCCATGTTTTCCTCCTTTGTCTCTCTGTTGTCTTCCTCTGTTGTTTTCCTTTCCTTTTTTGGGGGGTAAATGTTGCAATTTTTCTGCTGATTGCTTCCCTCTTGCACCAACAGGGAGAGTAAATTAACTAGGATGTTGCAGGATTCACTTGGAGGTCGCACTAAAACCTCCATAATTGCCACCATATCCCCAGCACTGTGCAACTTGGAGGTAGACTTGGCGTGCATGTGTTGGTGTTTATTACTGGTCACAAATCCATTTAAATTGATAGAACTATTTACTTGCTATCATTCCCATATTCCTGTACTTAGGACTTCCCTCTGTTTCTTTGATGTCGTGTTCGACACAAAGCTTTGCTGTGTGGTCAGCACAAGTAGAGAAAAGAAGATCAATTTTATTCTATAATTCCGTCTGAAATGTGATTTGAAAATGGAAATCCCTTGATAGGCCATCATACAGTTGTTTACTTTGTAGCCAAGCATAATTTGGAGTGACGCTGAAGGTAAGCTTGTTGTGAAAGAGACCAGTATCTAGTTAGCATGATAACAAACTGATTTGTATTTGAAAAGCACAAATGTTTGTCACCCTTAGCCTCACTCCTGCTCAAAGGCTTGGCAACCAAGCAAGCAACTGTAAAATGGACTATTGACTAGAATGATGGTACCGTGGGAAGCTTTGTTTGATAGGCAGTCACTAGAACATCTGACTGTTAAGCATTTAGCTGTTGACTCGCAATCAAAGTATAGGGACCAACATAATGATAGGAAAAACAATACATGTAATGTATGTGATGCAGTCTTTATTAAAGTAGAAACTGAAATTGAATAGTGATCTTGTTTTGATATCAGCTGTGGTTATTGTCACAGCTGAAGAGATGATAATTGTTTTGATGTTGTAGTACCTTTTCTTTATTCCTCTTGAGAAAGAATCTCTGTTTTTATCCCACTCAAACCTCCTTTTATGCAGCAGAATTTATGGTATTTGTTCTGACTAGTGTGATCACATACATGTTACTATTTGTGGTTACCATGAATGGTGTTCTAAGCAACAAATTGAATTGTTGATTATTTTACAGGTCATTATTTGTGATCTGTTTTGTCTTTCATTATTAGGAAACTCTTAGCACATTGGATTATGCTCACAGGGCCAAGAACATCCTCAACAGACCAGAAGTGAATCAAAAACTTACAAAGAAAACTTTGATTAAGGTACAGAATGATTTCTTTTTAACTAGCTCAGACAAACCAATCTGAATAAGTCTTGACCATTGTATAGCTATTAAAGAGGAAGATAATTTGTGCACTGTGCCTGTTTATGCAGTCATCTTTAACAACAACTTTTTATGCTTCACTACAAATAGGATTGAAGAAAGTAACATTAATTATACATGCTATTTTTTCAGGAGTACACTGAGGAAATAGAAAAACTTAAGAAAGATCTTCTGGCTGCCAGGGAGAAGAATGGCATTTTCATAGCAGAAGAGAATTATTGGTGAGTATTCCTATAAAGTCAAAGTTATCAAATGTAGCTGGCAAAAATCACATTGAGAAAAATGTTAATTTTTTTCATGACTATATCTGTTTCTTTCTTTTTTTTTTTTTTTTTTTTTTTTTGAATGGTGGTTTATTTTATTTAGTGTAAATTAAGGAGTTTTTTAGAGCAAAGTTCAAAATTTCATGAATTGAGAGAACTAAGTTCAAACCCCAGGAAAAACTTCTATTTTGTGTCCTCAGCCAACTGGTTTTACTCTCACAGTGACTTGCTCTACCCAGGGTTATCAGAGCATAGAAATTCTGGTTTGTATGCAGACATTTTAAAAGGCTTTAAGTTAGTTATAAGTAGGAGAAGATATTGCAACCACGATGACATTTGTCACTGAACTGTTTACTTGTTTGATTTAGTGCTATGCAGCAAGAGATCAAATCTCAACAAGAGCTGAATGCTGAAAGAGAAGCCAAAATCCAGGCCCTCCAGGAAGAAATTCGAAAGATCAATGAATTGTTCACTGATACTCAGCAAGAGTTGGAGGAAAGGTGTGTGGAACTGGAAGAAAAGGAAACTGAACTGCATAAAACCAACCTTTCCCTGAAAGAAACTAAACATACTTTAAGAACAACAGTCTTGGAGAGAGACCAGAATCAATATCTCGTTGACACATACAGCAAAAATGAGGACCATCTGCATAGCCAGGCCTCTTCTCTTCTTCACACAGTTGACGACAGCCTCTCTGATGTACATGGACTCCACTCAAAACTTGAGCGTAACCAAACTGTGGAGGCTCACAATGTCAATGTGCAGGATACATTTGGAGAGGATTGCAAGAGTTTGATTCAAAAAGTGAGAAAGAATTTGAATCAGTTTCAAGGAGAAAACGCTGTGTTTTTTGATGCGATGAAGAAAACCTTAGGTAGGTTAACCCACTGAATTCAGTATCCTGATATTAGTTATTAAGTTATTCACTTTGAAAATTAGGAAATGGTGGACTCTGAACATAATTATTTCTAATCTGGAATGTTACTACAGTGCACAGTATAAAACATGTCATAGTTTATAAGACAACTGGCCCAGCCCTTGCAGGGCTCGACACCAACGGTAGCCAACTAGCCACACACTTGTAGAAATTCACTTTTGGCTAGGAAACAAACTGAAATTGTTGTGACATCTAAGTTGTCACTAGCCACTTGGTTAGTAAGTTGAAAAGTTAGTGTTAAGCTCTGCCCTTACAGATGAACTTGTGCACAAATGTCACACTATTTGTAACTACTTGTAACTTTGCAATTTTGTGTTTACAGGGAACCTTGTTTCAAAGAAGACTGATGAATCATCAAAACTTCAGATTCAAATGCAGAGTTTTAAAGACAACATGGTTGTGCAAATGCATGCACTTTCCTCCAGAGAGCAGGTATCACTTACCAAACCCATTAACTTCCAAGATCTGATTTTTAAATCTCCCCTCTAGCTGCTAAACTTTTCCTTGTTAATTAGTTGCAAGAATTTGAAGTTAGATCAAGATAACAACTATCTGTGATAAGTTTGAGTAAATTCTCATTACCCGTTGCTGGTTATTGTATGAATATTGTAAGGAGAAGTTACGTGTTAATCACTTCTCAGGCTGGTAGTTATTAAGGGTTAACTAAATTTGTAATAACCACATTTGTTATATGTATCACTGAAGATAATTATTCAAAATGATCAAAAAGTTACTTTAAAGCCTCAATGGAGAAAGATATTCATGTTGAATGGAAAACCAGTAGGCCATGCAAGACTGTATCAACACCTGCCTCTAAATTTTGTCAACATGTTGACAATGCCATTGTGGTAACTTATTAGTGAGTTGTACTATACAACAAGTGTTCAAAATTTAAACAGATACCATGATTTGGTTGTGACAAACCAGATTTAAAATATAAATGCATGAATGATTAAATAAAATTATCATTTTTTAACAAAAGGAAAAAGACAGTTCCTGTGAAACCTGGCACAGTGATGTTTCCAGGAAGGTTCAAGAAAACAAGGTAAAAGGGCAATTTCATGTGTAGATGAAATTAATTATCAGTCACAGAAGCCAGCCTTAAACGAGTTAAGTCATCCTGTGCACCTATATCATGCTCAACAGTGATTTTTTATTATTAGTATTTCAAATTAAAATAGTCCATTTTACAGTTGTGCTTGGTTTCCAAGCCTTTAAACAAGAGTGAGGTTAAGGGTGACCTTGTTATGATACAAACTTTGGTGCTTTTCAAATGTAAAATACTTTGTAGATACTGGTCTCTATCACAACAAGGTCAGCTTCAGCCTCACTCCAAATCAAAGGCTTGGCAACTAAGTACACAGCCTATTCTAACTAATAGCCTATTCTACATGTACACTGATGCCTCTTGTGGTATATAAGGCTGTAGAATAACAGGAGAATGATTGGAAAGTAACAATATTAATCAAATGTGAAAATCAAACATGAAGCTGCAAGAATACTCAATTTGACTCTGACCAGTACAGACTAATCACAAAAAAAGCTCAGGTGGAGAGTTGGCCAATACTCAACCAATATATTGTTCAACACTCTGTCAATAGTTGGCCAATTTGTGGTCAAAGTTGGTCAATATATCAGTTGAGATTATTGGCCATTGGCTATCAACTGAGTATTGGCCAACCATCAACAGAGTGTCAAACAACAATGGACCAAGTGTGGACTGCCTGATATATCGACCAATGTTTTGACTGATCTATCAGTCAAGGTTACCTACCATAAACATGATCCATCAAATCAAAAAACCTTTTTTTGCAATAAAAGGCTTGGTTGAATCCCTCCACTTCATGTTTGTTTTGATACATTCAGTCTTTAAGAAATTTTATTAATTTTTTTTTATTTCAGGAAAATATTTGCTCTGTGCTTGATACCCTCAAGAATGAGGAGTTTTTGCCCAAAATGAGAGAACTTGAAATCTCAGTTCATTCAATGGCTGCCTTTCAGCAGCAGTTTGCTGTATTTTTCAACGAAAAGGTACATGTTGAGCATTACAGCTTGGAACCAGTTTTATAACACACATACATTGAATGCCTTCAGTTTTAACTTAAATTATTTTCAACCAAACTTTTAATGGCAAACTTTGAAATAACAACTGTGGAAACCTTCTTCAGTGCTTCAACCACAGTCTCACCCAGTCTTTAGCATCTTGAAATCTTGTTCTTGCCACCAAGAATCTTAGTAACTCAGGGAAGATTTTCCATCTTAACACTGTTGCATATAGGAAGGCAAATTTCAATGACAACAGACTGCTGTTAGACTCTCATTAAGAGGCTTCTATTCATTGTTTTGATTTATTTCTTTGAAGATGAGTAATTTGTCTTCAATGGTGAAAACCTTTGTGGAGGGTCAGGAGTCCATGCTAGAGAGTTTGGATGTGATGATAGATAGACATTTACAAGAGCAGGTAAATAAATTTATTACAAATTGATCTCTCTTTTTTTGTTTTGTTTTTTTGTTTTGTTTTTTTTCATGTCGGGACTTACTATTTGACCAGGTGGTAAGATGAGTTGTTGCTCTTCATGACAAAACACTTTGTGGAGGGTCTTAATTAAATTACAACGGTTGGTCACCGGTGCAGCATTAAAATTGACTGTTGATGATCAGAATGTTTTGGTTGCTGAAAGGCAATGATCTTCATGTCTTGTCATCTTTTACATACATACATACACACACACATACATACATACATACATACATACATACATACTTACTTACATACATACTTACGTACTTACATACATACCTACGTACTTACTTACATACGTACATACATACTTACTTACATACATACATACATACTTACATACATACATACATAC